TAGTTTTGATTAGTTCTAGGATAAACATTATATCGTGCATTGATTGTTTGTTGGTTCTAAACTAGATTTTACTGCCAATTTCGTCAAAAACAAACAATTTTTCAAGATTTTTTAATTTCGAATTTAAAAAAAAAAAACTTGATTTCGAAAATTAGTATATTTTGATTAATTGTGTTGTTTTCATGAAAACTATATTATGATTATCAATATATTAAATAGTTTTCAAAACATGCTCATTAGGATATGGTTTAGAGAACCTTGAATTATTGAGGACTCATTTGAGTTTTGGGATTGATTGTGCATACATGTGTTTCAAATTGCAGGTGATGTTCCTATTCCGATTTCCTTTAATCATGTCAAACCCAAAACGACCTAGGTCATCTTAGAGTCGGTCAAACCAAAACCGTCCTCCCATTCCTCAACCTCCTAATCCCGTTCCTCCTCCACCTTCATCTCTATTAGGATCTTGTTTTAACATGCCTGAGCGTTGTAGAGACGAATTGTACTCTAGGTACAGAAACTCTTTCCAAACTTATAGAATCCGTGAAGAGCGTATTCCTTCACTTCAAGCCATGGTTGACATTGATTTCGAATACCTTTCGATTCTTAAAGCTTGGAAGTTTGATAAATTGTTTAACTAAACCTATCCTCTATCACAATTGGTCCATTTTCTATTCCAATGCGGTGTGTATTCAAAATGAAACTCAATGTGGAACTATAGCCATTAGATCCTATCTTTTAGGCCAATATATAATATTGACCCCGAGACTATAGCTTTCTGTTTTGGGTTAGATGATAGTGGCGTCTATAATGAGAGTAAAAATGTGGAATATCCCTATGCTCTAAACTCAAGTGTTAGTACTCTACGATCTCATCATGATCGTTTTCTCCATTTAATGATCTCTTGGTGGTTTAGACCATCCGGAGGGAGGTACTCCACACTTCGTGCTAGGGATTTATGGTGGATGTATTGTATTAAAAATAAAATCAAATAAATCTGGCCCACATTATATTCAGTCAACTAGTGGACATCATAAACATTATCCCGTCCAAACATGTCGAAACCTTAGTTTATGGTTGTCTTCTAAGTAATCTCTTTATCAAACTGGGTCTAGATGTCTATCTTGACAATCCTATACCACTTCAAAACCCTATCAATAAACTCCTTGAAGAAATCAGATTGGAAATTGGATAGGTAACTGTTATGGGCTTTTAAACCTGGTAAACAAACTCCGGGAGCTAGTTCCTCACGCTGCTCCTAGCTCCTCTCGTGCTCCTCCTCCTCCTCCGGCTCCAGCTTCTAACGATGATCCTGAATTTCAACAACTTATGCAAGACATAGATGATCACATATCCGATGATGAGCCTGCACCGGAACCAGCTCCACAAGAAGATCAAATGCCTCCATATTTTCGTTCGTTTTTGGAGACATTGATTTACGGTATGCGTCCATGGATTCGCGCTTCACATTCATTGAGTCTCAGCTCTCTACCTTGGGCTCGACAATAATATGAATGATCGTTTGGATGCACTCATGCTTGAAATGAGAGCTCGTTACCCTCCTCCTCCTCCCGATCCCTCGATGGATGAATAGACTTATTTTGATTATTTTGGGTTGAACTTGAATTTAAATTGTTAAAACATTTTGGATTGTCTTTCTTTGATTGTGGATGACTGTTTGATGGATATTTGAATTTTATTTCATATATTTTGGTTTTTACAATATATGTATCATTTATTTTAGTTGAAATATGACCAATTTACCATTTCACATTTATTATGATATTGATTATGAAGCTAATGGCTAATCTCTCTTTTGATTATGATCTTAGCAGCTTAAGCTATATTTATATATATTTTAATCATTGGATACGTTTTTCAAAACTTTTTAAATCGATTTTAAGTCTTTTTGATTTAACAAAAAGGGGAGAAGTGTTAAGTGTTAAAAGTTTTAAAGGGGAGAAGTGTTAGTAAGGGGAGTAATTTGGAGTAATTTTCAAAATTGATTTCAAAAATTATTTTCAAAGAAAATCTTAAAATTACTCAAGAGTTTTGTTATATCAAAAAGGGGAGATTGTTGAAACATTTTGATGTTTCGATATAACAAATAAGTTAAATGAATTTTAAGATTTTACAAATGAGTTTCTAAAAGTATATTTGATTTAATTACTCGAATATCAAATTATTACTCCAAGTCTTTTAAGATCAATTTCAAACCTTACTAAATGTGTAAAATTGTGTTTATACTTAATATATTTTTGAAACAATTTTCACAGTATTTTGAACCAAAATCAAGCCTAAATCAATTTTTCAGAGTGATGCACCGATGCACCAATCCATGCATCGATGCACCATGAATTAAATTAAACATCGAATGCATTTGATGCATCGATGCACTACCATGCACCGATGCACTGAGGATTTTATGAAAACATCGAATGCATTTGATGCATCGATGCACCAGCCATGCATTGACTCTGGCTATTTTGAAACATCGAATGCACTTGATACATCGATGCACTCTTAGTGCACCGATGCACTAAGGTCCAACGGTCAAAATTTGAATTTTACACTGATGCACCGATGCACCATGGGTATGTATCGATGCACTGACGCTCCCAACTAATTTTATTAATTGTTTTCACACTTAAACGGCTATATTGACTCCCTAAGCATCCCCAACGTTCAAATCATTTGAAGTGTATTTAAACAAGCTTAGAAGCCTTTGATCAAAACAAGAAACATCAAGCAACTAGAATCAAGAGAGAATCAAAGAGAAAGCATCAACCTCAAGTTTGAGCATTTCAAGCCTATTTTTCATTCAATATTCATTTTGATTTCAAGAACACTTATTGTGCTCAATTGTATTTATTCTTGAGTTCTTTCTTTTTTCTAGAATTGTGCAAACATATTTGCCTTGTGAGGTTTTCTTGTAAGTTTTGCAAATTTGTAATCTTCTCTTTGCGAAAAGAGTGTTCTCAAGAATTGGGGTATATTCTTGAGGAGTTGTAAGGTTATCTCTTTGGCCTCAAAAGAAAGAACAAATTAGTGAATTTGTTAGAAAATCCTTAGTGTTGATAGCTAAGTAGTGGACGTCGACTTTGTTGAGAAAGTCGAACCACTGTAAATCGCTGTGCAATTACTTTCAATTTCTGCAAAAGCTTCCACCAAAATTTTAATTGCCAATTCACCCCCTCTTGGCCGATTCCATCGATCGATTAACTCACAAAAGCAATGGAGTAAGTAGCAGCAGAGTAGCAGATATTATCAATGATACTTCTCCCTTTGACAAACACAAACTGATTAGGGGAAATAATCTTTGGCAGCAATAGTCATTCTTTTAACAATGATCTTGGTAATAGTCTTATATGACAGAACAACAAGAGATAGGTCGGAAGTCAGAAACTTTGCTGGGGTTGAGGATCTTGGGGATCAAGGAAATAGTTGTGGCATGAAAACTGGAAAAATAAGCTTCATGAAAGAAGAATTTAATTGATTCAGTAACGTCGCTTTCAATTATTGGCCACGCTTTTTTGAAGAAGATAGGGGTGCAACCATCAGGGCCTGGAGCCTTATCATTACCCTGGCTAAAAAGAGCCTCCTTGATTTCATCATAAGACTTCCTTTGTGAGACCATCAAACTCATCAAAGAAGGAAAAGGGGACAAGAGTTCTTTAAGAAGATTAATGGGGCATTCTTTGACATTAGAGTCATAGGAGCCAATGAGTCTTTTAAAGAAATTAACAACTTCTGAGGACATGTCATCGAAGGTCTCGAGCCTTCTTCCTTGCTCATCAACAATCACTCTAATGGTGTCTTTTTTCCTCTTAGAAGCAATTACTGAGTGAAAAAATATGGTACATTTATCACCATCTTTAAGCCAGTGGATTTTAGTTTTTTGCTTTAAGAACATTTCCTCCGCTTCCTCTAAGGAATTGAGTTCATTTTGCAAATCTAGCTCCTTATCAATAAATTCAGCACCATTAAGGGTGAGAATTTGTTGTTTTTTCAATTTCCTCTCTCTTTAGTCTAACCCGGGAAGAAATGTCACTATAATAGTCATTGTTGAGGGTTTTGAGACAAGCTTTAAGCTGTTTGAGCTTAAGAAAGAGTTTCTTCATAGGATCTCCTTGGATAGGCACAAACCAAGAATAATTGACAATATTAAGGAAATTGTGATGCAGAGTCCAACAATTAAAGAATTTAAATGGATTTGGTTTGTTGGTTTGAATTTCTTTGTTTAGGTACACCATGCAATGATCAGAGAGACCAGGAGCCAAGAATTCCACAAAAGAGTAAATAAAAGATTCTGACCAAGTTGGATTAATGAGGACTCTGTCGAGTTTGCGAGCAAGGTAGTTTTCCTTTTGCTTGTTACTCCAAGAGAAAGAAGGGCCAAATAATGGATGGTCCTGGAGTTGGAGATCTTGAAAAACTTCTTGGAATTCCAACATATCATGGGAGGTGATCATACCAAGATGCTCATGAGCAGAAGTTTCTTGAGGATGAAGAATTACATTGAAGTCTTCTCCCAATATCCATGGGAGGTTACAAGAAGAGGAAAAAGTATTTCTAAGGTCCTGCCATAGATTCCTTCTTGAAATTCCATCATTGTGGCCATAGACAGTGATGATTTGGTCAGAGGAATGTCATAAAGAGATATTTAAATTTTTCCTCCACAATAGCCATATTCTACCGTTCATAGCGGAGTTATAATTGGTATAACTATTCCAGTTTTCAAAGGTAGAGGCTAAAATAGCAGCAGAATTTTCCAGCTTGACACGGGTTTCCAACAAACAAAAAATGTCCACTTTATTAAGATTAGCCCTTTTTAGGACCTTGCCTTGTTTAAGAGGATTGTTCAATCCTCTTACGTTCCAAAATGAGATGATCATTGGGCAGGAGGTGAAGGAGATTGTTCCCCTACTAAGCTTCCAGCAGTACTTTTAGACTTTTCAAGACTGATTTTCTTTTTCTTTTGAGCTCTTTAGTCAAGGCAACTACTCCGAAGCAGCTTTCCTTGGTAGTTTAACATGGATGTCAGGACAAGGTTGAGATTCTTCAATTGTAGTAAGAATTTCAAACCTATTACCGGAACCTGCTAGAGCTTTGTTAGGTTTTATTTTTGGTGGTCTACCTCTGCCTTTTTTGGAGGGAGAGGAGACAGTAGTTTGTGAGGTGTCAACCTGACTTTGAAGAGCTGTAGAAGAAGGATCATTAACAGTATTAAGAGCTGGGGCGTCTTCTGTGCTAGGAGAAGAGAGTAGAGGAGTTTCTTGAGAAATTGGAGCATCTAGAGAAACAGCCGAAGAGTTAAGATCAGATGCTAAGATAATACTTTCAGGATTTTCCTTAGAAGGGCATTTCTCTAAACATGAAGCAACAAGAGTAGAATTCTCCTTTTCAACAGAGTCTTCTGTTAATTGAGTGTTATAAGAAGAAGGGACTTCCTTTTTCCTCCAGACTTGGGTAGTTTGAGGGACAACAGGAATAGCCTTACAAATTTTAGTACTATGACCAAATGTGTTGCAAGATTTACAACAGGGGGGAGACCAGGGAACTTCAACAAATATTGAAGTTGATTGTCCATTATTCAGGATAACATCAACGTGTTTTGGAATCATATCCGAGGCCCCAATTTCAACACAAACCTTGGCAAATTCTAAACGAGACTTTGAAGCTGTAATCGAGTCCATAGAGAGAGGGAGACCTATGGCACTAGCGATGTAGCTTAAGCCTTCGCTAGAGAACAATTCAAGAGGCACACATATGACAATTTATGTCCTTTATATATTGCAATATTTTATCTTCTTTTAGTTTTGTTAAAAAGCGAAAATATGTATAATGTGAAAATGATTTATATTTGTCATCGATAATATTTAGGTTGTGAATTTTTAAATATTTCAAGAAATTTCGGGGATATGAAAGTCGAGAGGTACAGTCTAGTGAGATTCGTAGTGGAAGTATACCAGTTGTCTCCCTTGATTGAAAAATGCTAAAAGTGGTATAATCTAAGGTAAAATATATTCTTTAATGAGGTTTGACACGGAAGTGTCGCTATAGAATGGTTAGGACTTTGGTCTAGAGGACACATTAGACGATCTAATTTTCATTTCAAAAATTTTACTGATAATTTATTTTAATATTTGGTGAAATTATCTCAACAGAAGATCATCAATGCTTTCTATGAATGATTTAAGAGAACAACATTTCGACACTATAAAGAGAATGAATAAATTCATATTATCATGATACAGGTATATCGACCCTCTTGATCGGACGATAGAGAAGTAGTGATGCCATCTCGACACTTTGATCAAAATCTTCAAATGGATGGAAGCAAATAGCTCAATACTTAAAAGTTAACAAAGTAGAATAGTTTGAGAAAGTAAATTGTTTCTTTATTAAAGGGAAACCAATTGAGTATTACTAAACAACACACCCCATTACAATGATATGGATATTTATAACCTAATATTAACAGCCTAACAAATCTAATAAATTCTTAACTAATTGTCAACTAGCATGAAAAACGATAAATGGATTAAGGTATATTACGCTTAAACTTGTTGCTGAGGATCTTTTCGTTTAAGTCCGTGCAAGCTTGAAGTTTAACTGCGTTGTTATTCTACATTTTTGTGTATTTAAGTGGGCGAATTTTAGGCTAGACTGAGTTGTCTTTGTACTTATATTTGTACCCACGAAGAAGATTCTTAACGCTTTTATTTGTCTAGGTCTAGCTCTAAAGTATGTTGGTCTAGAAGTAATGGGGGAAGCATGAATTTGTCCTTGATAGGACAAAGATAATTTTTGAAACTAGGCTTTTAGCAAAATTGTTGGAGTACAAATAGTTGGGCTTTCAACAAAATGGAGGTGGGTGGGTGAATGAAAGGGTGTCAACTCTCAAGCAAAACAAGGCCCAACCTCATCCATATTCCAGCACTGGATATTTGAGGTGTTGAAAATCTTTTCTTTTTGAGAAAATAACCTCAGTGATCAAAAATGCCTTATAATATACGATTTTAACCAACTTTTTTTGGATTCGCCAAAATAACCAACTAAATCGCAATGCGATCGATAATTCGCAACGCGATCTCCGGTATCGCAAATCAGTTTCCAGATTCGCAACACGATTCTGACTATCGCATTGCGATTTCCCAAATTCGCGTTGCGATTTTCCTAATTCGCAATGCGAATACGTAAATCGCAACGCGATTACGTAAATCGCAACGCGATTACGTAAATCGCAATGCGAATTAGGAAAATCGCAATGCGAATACGTAAATCGCAATGCGATAGTGACTATCGCAATGCGATTTACATAGCGCCATTCGTATTAACGCGTATTATTTTTTCAAATTCCAAACACGAATTTCTTAATATATCGAAAACTGAACCATCCACAATATATCCCGTAATCGCAACTCTTAACCTAAAACCTAAAATCACAACTCAGTCCCATCTCCATCTCTCACTCTCTACGGCGAAATCCGTCCCCATCTCCGAAGATTTCCGTCCCCATCGCCGGCGAAATCCCTCACAACCATTCACAGTCAGAAATCAGTCACAATCATTCAGAAATGGAAAATCAACCTCCGAGGGTTAGTTTTTAATTATTTTTATTTTGAAATTTTGCATTATTTTAGGTTTTTCATATTGAAATTGATGATAAGTTTACTGGTAATTTCAATAATAGATTAACCCATTTCACTTAGATTTCTTATTAATTCATTCGATTGCTGCCAATATGTTAAACTGTTTAGTCTTTAACCCTGTGAAGTTGTATTTGTCTTTGTTTTGTCTTTTGGCTGAAGTAATGCAAGAAGAAGAATAGTTTCTAAACTTAAAATCGCAACATGAAAAAAAATCGCAACACGAAAATGACTATCGCAACGAGAGAAATGAAAATCGCAACGCGAAACCAAAATCGCATTGCGATTTTCATTTCGCGTTGCGATTCTCTCGTTGCGATTTTAATTTCGCTTTGCGATTCTCTCGTTGCGATTTTCATTTCAACCAAAAGACAAAACAGTGTTACAAATTTTAGTTTCAAGAATAAACTACTATTTATGTTTATTGTTTTTGGTATATCTTCACAGTGTAGTTTTTGGTATATCTAACTTGATATGTTTATTGTTTTTGTAGAAATTTTTTTCGGCTTCATTGACATTAAGGAATAAAGTTAGCCTAGCCACTACAATTGCTTCGAAGCTTTTAACTGCACAAAGAAAATTATTTGAGGAAACCTGCTTCGGGCCATGGCTGAGAGTACAACATCCGGGTGGAGATGCTAATTTGACCCATTTGTGGCTTCAGACCATGACTAGCGATCTACCCGACAGTATACAACGTTGTGAGGAAGAGATATTGTTTCATTTTCCACCGGCGTATACTTGTTTTGGGCGGAAAGAGTTCTGCTTAATCACTGGTCTACGATTCGGACACGATGATGTAGGCCGGTACACTCTTCATATCACCCACCCATCATGGTTATCCAGGGTTTTTCCTGATGAGTCAATAGAGAAGCCGAACTTACACGTCGACGACCTGAAGAAATTGTTTAATAAGAAATATGGTTTTACTCGGATGAATGACGTCGATGTTGTCCGAGTATGCCTTCTACTACTTTTGTATGCCGGCTTTTTAGGCAGAGAGGCCAGACAACCTATTCCTCAGGAGCTAATATTATGGTAGAGGACCTAAATGCATGGAATCTGTTTCCGTGGGGTTCGTATATATGGAAAGCTACCTGGACTAAGTTGTCGTCTGCCTTTGATGACCACAAAAGTTTGCGTGGTGATGGGTCGAAATACACTTTGTTAGGCTTTGTTTGGGCCTTTAAGGTAAGAATTTCTATATAATGTTTTCAAAATTATAATTAATTATTTAACAATTACTAATGTTTGTTATTATATTGTTTGTAGATTTGGATATTCGAGGTTTTCCCCTGCATGCGGACATATGCATTAAAAACTTCAAATGACATTCCTAGGGCTATTTCCTGGAAGAGGAAACGTCTGTTGGATTGGGAAGACTTAATACCATATGCGACAATAAATAATGTAAGTTAACACAAATAATATCATATATAAACAAGTTATTAATAGTAGACGTTTAACTTTGTTTGAGTTTTTATATTTTTAGGAGGCCAACACTCCATTAATGAGACTGACACCCACAGAGGCTGAGCTTGCCACTGATTGGTGGCAAGCTAGTCAGCGTTTTCTTGATGGCACGAATAATGAGCAGCCTCCACTTCCTCCACTTCGAGAGCCATCACCTCACCCAGAGCCATCACCTGATCGACCCGACTATACACCTCTACAACGAGAGCCATCACCTATCCCGTCACATCATCGAGCCTGTTCTCCACCATCACCTCATGATAGGCGACCGGCAAAGATGCCACTACTTCTATCTCCCTGTTCTCCACCTCCACGGGATGAGTCAAGGGAGTTACGTGATGAGGTCAATGCCTTGCGTGAGGAGATCGGTACTCTACGCGATAACGATGGTGCATGGCGTGTGGAGGTGTCTACTTTACGTGGTGAGGTTGCCGCTCTACGTGAGATGGTAGTATCGTTACAGAATGAGGTTCATACTCTACGCAACGAGGTAAGTTTAAGATTTTCCATATTTAACTTGATAATAAATTTACTCGTAATTTCACTTAGATTAACCATTTTACTTAGATTGCTTAGTAAATTTATTCGGTTGCTGCCAATACTGCTAAACTGTTTATTAACACTGTGAAGTTAGTATTTGTCTTTTGTTTTGTCTTTTGGTTGAAGTAAATTTATTCGGTTGCTGCCAATTCTGCTAAACTGTGTATTCTTTAACACTGTGAAGTTAGTATTTGTCTTTGTTTTGTCTTTTGGTTGAAAGTAAATTTGTTCGGTTGCTGCCAATTCTGCTAAACTGTGTATTCTTTAACACTGTGAAGTTAGTATTTGTCTTTGTTTTGTCTTTTGGTTGAAAGTAAATTTGTTCGTTTGCTGCCAATTCTGCTAAACTGTGTATTCTTTAATACTCTGAAGTAGTATTGTCTTTGTTTTGTCTTTTGGTTGAAGTAATGCAATCCATTCAAGTTTCAATTTGCAGAAGAAGAATAAATAGTTTATTCTTGAAACTATTTTTTAGCAACACTGTTTTGTCTTTTGGTTAAAATGAAAATCGCAACGAGAGAATGAAAATCGTAACGCGAAACGAAAATCGCAACGAGAGAATCGCAACGACAAAATCGCAACTCGAAACCAAAAATCGCAACGCGAAACTATAATCGCGTTGCGATTTTCGTTTCGCGTTGCGATTTTTCATTCTCTCGTTGCGATTTTCATTTCGCATTGCGATAGTCATTTTTCACGTTGCGATTTTAAGTTCCAGAAACTATTCTTCTGCAAATTGAAACTTGAATGAATTGCATTACTTCAACCAATAGACAAAGACAAATACTAAGTTGACAGTGTTGCAAGTTTGAAACATATTTGCCTTTGTTATCTGATGCATTTTGTGAACTATGATAGAATAATGACTTGGGTGAATTCAATGCAAGTTTGAAACATATTTGTCTTTGTTTTCACTGTTTAAATATCATGTCTGTTTATTTACTGATTTTTGTATTTAATTATTTAGCGGCCCAATAAGGTGGATGCTTTACGTCGGGTTTTTCTTGCACGACAGAGTTCACGCATCAGAC